TTAAGTTTTGCTTATCTTTAATTAGAGTACTCAATACTAATATTGAAAATCGGGCAAATCGCTTATGTTTATATGAAGAAAGGCAACTGTTTTGTGAAAATGAAAAGCGTTTGTGATCGAATTTTTTAATATTTATAAAGTTACTCAATCGCTGTCTCTTAAGGATGCATAAAAATTTGCAAAAACTGGAGATAATTAATGGATTTTTATTATTTTTCCCTGTGATAGTGAAAATCTAGTATAATTGGTATTGTTTTTTAAAAATTTCAATAACTTTTTAAATTAAGTTTGAAGCGGTCTTTTAGTTTTTCCCTCGGCTAAAGAAGTTTTTAAAAAAATGTCTGAGTTTCACATGCACCCCAGCGATCAGTTATCACTCACAACCAACCCAGCCATGCTGCTTATATATGAATGTTGACACTCTTAATTTAAATCGTTCTTAGTAACATATATAATACATGCTACTAAACATAATTAATTATTCAAACCACATGGAATTCGCAATTATTGCATCCCAATTTCATGAATGTAATTATTTTAATTAAGTTGAAAATGTAAATGAAAGAAAATGATGATTGGAAAGCTTTCACAAAGGGTATGTAACAGCGCTAGCAGCTAATTTTTAATCCAGCGGCGTTTAACGACTCACTCTCTTTTTTGGAGATTTTAATCTTGACTGTAGTTGGTCCCAATTATAATACAAGCTTTTATTTATTTTAAAATTTGTTACCTTAACTAAAGTAACATCAAGATTGATTTTTTTTAATTTAAAAAAAAAGCTAAACAGGGGAGCGGGTCGATAAATGTCCCTGAATAGGAAAATCGCACCCAGGCATATAAACCAACCACATTTCTAAGTTTCGTGCTTCACTCGATGCTTTTTTTAATTATTTTTTTTATAACCGTCGTTGAAAAGCCGACCCGACTTTTGGGTTTACGACTACTAAAGTTCAACTACGCAGCCTTGTAATTTTGAATCCAATCTAGAAGACAAGGTAACTCCTGGATGAAGTATTGGGAGAAATTTGCCTTCGTGGAGGACTTTTTAATGGAGCTAGTCCGCATTTGCCTTACATAGAGGGGAAGACCACGGAAACCTCCCACGGTTAGCTTGATGGGAAGGGGATTCATACGGTCCAAATTCGTATCGACCAGCCATCACCGGGATTCGAACCTGGTTCACCTGATTGGAAGGCGAACGCTCTATCCCATGAGTCATCGCTGCTCTTACAAGATGCTTAAAATTAAGAACTAAACACTTTTTAGTGTTGTAATAGTAAAACTGCTAATTATGTAACTTTAAAAAAAAAAAATAGCATTTTACACAGCACAATAAAAGAAAAAGTGGTAAAGTAAATTTATTTCATCATTTGTATTTATATGAGAGGTGCGGAACATTTGTTGTAATAAATTGAAAATCGTTGAGATATTGTTCAACTATTCTTTTATTTGAACTAAAGTCATAGCGAACGAGGAAAAAATGCGAATTTAATTTTGACATAAATTTATCACCACTTTTTACTTTTTTAAACTATTTTTTTAAGCGTTGGTAAAACGATCACTTCGGGAAGAATTGTGCTGTACTGAAGGACTACATTAATCCGCTTTCGAATAATTTTTATGGTTCATAATCTCTACATGTAATAAGTTTGTGGTTGTTGTTCATTTACGTCACACTAGAGCCGCACAATGGGCTATTGGCGACGGTCTGGGAAACATCCCTGAGGATGATCCGAAGACATGCCATCACAATTTTGATCCTCTGCAGAGGGGATGGCACTCCCGCTTCGGTAGCCCGACGAACTGCACGCGAAGTCGAGCACTTTACGGTAGAACAGTTTAACGAGGACCAATAACACACACCGTCGGTCCCTACGCAGGCTGATCCAAGTGATCACCCACCCGCACACTGACCGTAGCCAGTGATGCTTTCTTCTGGGAACCGTGTCTTAACGATCAGTCCACTGCGGGACCTGTATTAAGGTACCCAAATACCTTTTAATATTACAATTTTGTCGAAAATAGCCTTTTTCTTTATATATACATACAAGGGGTGAACGAAATAATGGAAACACTTCTATACTAATACATTTTTTCATGTTTCTCCAGAAATACTAAGATAATCATTTTATGACTTCAGAATTGTTTTGATCATGCGATTTGTCATTCATATCAATAAAGTTTAAAGCTGTTAGAGGTCTGAGGGACCGACAATAAATTACAAACTGACAATAAAGTTTTTGAACAGCCTATGGCAAAAGAATGGAGCAATAGATTTGCATCTTGAGACAGTTATTTTGGTTATTATATGCAAAAATTACGGAAATTTCGTATGCTTAGCTTAAATATTTAAGGAAATATGAATACTTTTTATAAAAAAAACTTATTTTTTTTGTCTCACGTTTTTTCGTTAAAACTTTACAAATATTCAATAAAATTAAACAAAGGTTTTAGTGCAATTTAAAATTAATTACAAAATTTTGCTTAAAAGTTAAAAAAATTCGTTTAAAACTGCGTAAGATATGAGTAATTAAAGTAGTTCCTTTATACTACCAGGTATATATATATATGTACAAAATGAAGAATAAAACAAAGAGAAATTAAAGACATATGAAAAAAGGGGGAAATAATAAGTAATAAGTAAAAAAAATAACTAACAACAGTTTAAAAAAAAAGGGATAAAATTTTATTTAAAAATTTTTTTTTCTTAACTTTCTTCGTGTTTTCTTGTTTTTATTTATTTCATATATATATATATATTCATCTNAGATATATATATATATATATATATAACATTAACTAAAAAGAAAACATTTATATTAGTTATTCTTTGTCTTTTTTGTCTCTATTTTCAAAACTAATTTTCAGGTTATTTTCTTTAATTTTAAATGAGACTACAGATTGGTGAATTAAACTATTATTTTACATTTTACAGCTAAAATAAAAATAATTAATCAAAATTTCGCCTCTTTTTTTTTTACAAATGAGTTTCTATGTCTACTGCAAAATATCTGAATATTAATATTATGACTAATACTTTGTCTAGTCCCTAAGTTGAATTTTTTATAAGTATTATAAAGTAAGAAAAATGAAAAAATGATACATTCTATTAAAGTTATGCGATATTAAAAAAGACCAATTTTCAATCTTTTTTGACCAATTTCTTTTTTTTTTTTAATTTCCATACCATTTTATTAGTATTTATAGCATATTTTAGCGTATAATACACAGACAAATCTAAATAAAAAATTAACAAAATTTAAATTAAAAAATTATTCTATGAAAAAGCCACCTCTTTGCTTTATAGCAAATTTCTCTGAAATATTCCTATTTGAAAATCTAACTGAATCTTATGAAATCTTGTAAGAACACCAGACCAATAGCAGCATATTATTGCAGATCATATTCTCGACATAATAGCATGTATCTAACCTCACCTTACTAGCTAAATTCAAGTTGTACCTCATATTTTTGACGTTATGATTTTATCACCCTGCATATAACAACTACACAATCAGAAATCATCTATCCACAAACATTCCTACTTTAATTGCGTTTCACCACCTCATTGAAACACCACAAAGTTCAAGTAAAGATGAATGGGAAAAGGGAGCAAGCTGTCTGAGGTACCCTGACATTTCATACAGTACAGTACAGAACACAGTGCTTTTTTTTAAAGCTAAAAAAAAGTTTGCGTTCAGTAACAGAAATAAATATCCACTTGCTACAAACAAGTATGAACTAACCCTTTTCACAAAGGTGTTTTTCATTTTAAAACCACTTTTTGTGGTCAAGCATGAATGGGTTAATTGTTGCAGAATTACGCTTTTGTGACATTTAGAAGCCAATAAATTATATCACCGTTCTTATAAATCAACATTTCTCCCAATGCTTAGATATGGTCGTCAGCTTAAATTCTTGCATATTTCTTTTCTATTAGGATACCATAGATTTTTGTTTTTTGCACTTTCAAAACTCTGATGTGGCAGATAGAAAAGGTTTAAAAAAATTAGTTTTAATTTAATTCACTCGCATTAGAAAGAAATTAATTCGGTAAATAAAGGGATAATATTAAAACAGGTATTCAATTAGTACTAAAAGATAAAAATTCCTAAAGACCTTATACCAAGGGATCATGCAAACGATTGAAATTATTAAACTTAGCAAATAATCATTTGTAACAGTATCGTCTAACTCAAAAACATGCGTGCTTAGAGTCTTTTTATCGGGACAGTTTAAGAAAAAAAAAAAAATTGGTTGCAGAACTGTTTTATCATTGACATCTATTTCTCAGAAACAAGGCAGTTTTGTTTATATTAGTATAATAATATTATAAATGGCATGCATTTTCTGATCCGAAGTCAAAACAAATTACTCCTTCAAAAGTAAAGTGGTAGGAACTATCCACTCTTTACCACTTTTTTCATTTAAATGCATTTATTACATGATGGCAATAATTTGTAGTCCGGACACTAATTCTATCGTAAAATTTTATTATTCCCTTTTATTTTTCTCAATTCTTATCCCTTTCAAAATTCTCGATGAAATTTACAACATGATTTATCAAAATTATCCTACATGCTACATGATTATTTATCATCAATCCACTTTTTTTACTACCACTTTTTTCATTTAAATGCATTGATTGCATGGTGGCAATATTTGTAGTTCCAATACTAATTTTATCTTATGATTTTATTATTCCATTTTAATTCTCTTAATTCTTGTGGCCCTTTCAAAATTCCTGATGAAAATTACTACATGATTTAACAAATCAAGATGAAAAGGGAATTATATGACCAACACCAAATCCAACAATTATGTATTGATAACAAAAAGGCTGTAAATGCTTATAAAAAATTTATTTGCATACTATAGCAGTTAAATTTATATAGTATATTTCTAATTTTAAATGAATTTGCATTAATTATAACAGCTGGCAAAAACAAGAGAAAAAATTAGCATTAGTAATCTAAAAGAATAGAAATGCTTATATTTACCATGTAGTTTTCGTTCAGTTTCCCAAAATTTTTGAAGCTCCGTGAAATATTTGTCCAAAATGAAGACTTTCGACAGTCCTAGGGTCGCCATAGCCTAGTGACAAAATTAAGGATTCTTTCACTACCTTACCTGCATGTCAACAGGCAGGTAAGTGCAACACAAAAGGAATTTAATACTGACCACTTTTTTTTTTGGAACGAAATAAACACAAAACACAAACACCAGTTCACAAAATATAAAATAAATGGCACTATGTATCTTCAAACAATTTTCATCCTAGCATTTTTATTTGAATGAAATGTCAAATGAGTTATCCTTCAGTCTATTTGTCTACTCTTCAAATCACAAATATGTTTTTCTCATAAAACACAACATCAAACAAACATATGGCACCTTCCGTTTTGGCTTGTATTAATATGGTATGCGATTTAACAGATAACAACACATTAAGTAAAAAAAAGATTATTTTTTTAAAAAATGGCAGAGTTTTTTTTCTGATTTGTGACAAATTAAACAAGTGACAGTGAGCAATAACTTAGTTCATTGAGCTTAGTGGTAAAGAAAAACTTAACAGTTTTTTAAAGTCTTTATCGATAAATAAAGTAACAACCTTCGTTTGTCTATTGTCGAGCAGTGTACCACATATCGTCGAATCTTTTCGATCTGCTGTACCCGGTGAGGCGAATAAGACATGGTACTTGGAACATACAAATTTCAAAATTCATTCTATTTTGGTTGATATAATAGGCAGCACAAGAAATAACTATTCGTTCTGATCATCCCATCATCATTGACATCTTTCACAAAATCTGCCATAACTTACCTCCCACAGTCGTTAACGGTAAGTTTTGTCAACTCCGGATAACACAACCACTGATGAAGTTTCACTTACATCCAAATCTTGACTGAATCCAGATACATTGACACGAAATGTCAACAAATGCTTTAGATTCGAAAGAGTCGGCTGCCTTGCTGGTAACAGACACTGCACAACGATGCAATCAAGAAGAAGGGAAAAAAGAAGAACTTTTGTTTTTTTTTTCTTCAAAACACCAAAGTCATGCTGTCGACGTTTATCATGATACCTCGCCAAACTTCTTTAAGAAAAGAAGCACCTGAGTTCGGTTGATCTTTGAATATGCCGAAAACTTTTTCTCGTTTCTCGCTTTGGCGGTTGATGGTAGATTTTCATTGGACCAACCTGTTCCTAACCCCCTGTTTTTCATTTTCTTATTTTCTTTTCTTTTTTTTTTAGTTCTGGCTTTCCCGAACTTCTTGGAGTTAGGGCGGGCAGTAAAAACCACCCCGGGGTAGAAGAGTACCGAAGCGTCAAGGGAAGGGGGGGAAGGGAATGAACGGGATTTGCTAGAAAAGAGGAGGGAGAAAAAAAGCTTCTGTAGTTACAAGGCAACTAGACAGGTATGGAAGATTCCATCTATGTCCACTTCCGAGGGTGGAGAGTACGTTCGCTTTCGAACCACTTGTTGCTTACCTCTTTGGAAGATGCAAGTCAGAGAGGTAAACAAACATGAGTTTTCTGGTTCCATCATATACTCCCACCACCCTTATTTTAATTTAGTTTTATTTTATTCACATCAACAGTTATTTTAGTTAAAAAATAAAAAAAATATTAACATTATTATAAACTTTAACATCGTGTAATTAATAAAATTAAAATTTCAGCTGTGTAAAAAAGTTATTCTCGTTGATCTTCTTTCTGATAAGGCATTTATTAAATAAGAGATAACTAGGCAAGTAAAAATGGCCAACAATTATTTTTATTCGGATTAATAGGGTTTTTTTTCAGTTCGAGAAATAAATAATTAAAATTAAAAAATTAATATTTAAATATATAAATTTTAATATAAATTTAAATATTATGCAACTATTATTTTTATAATAGTTTTAAGTTTTACCTTTGTTTAAAAATCATTTTCAAGGGGCTTCTTCCTGATAAAGCATTAATAGAAAGATAACTAGGCAAGAAAAATGACCATTAATTATTTTTATTCTGATAAATAGTTTTTCAGTTCAAAATTTTAGCAGCAAATAAGAATAAAAAAATTAAAATTAAATTATAAAATATGCTAATATANTATATATAATTAACTCAAAAAAAAAAATTCTGTTAGAAAGTTTTTGTGGTAAACTGTTTAAGATATTTTTATTAATAAATTCGTGTAATATGCATACTTCGTACGTGGTTAAAAAAAATCGTGAATAAATAAAGAATTGCTATAAACTAAAGCTGTAAATCATGTAATATCATACATAATCATGCAATCATAAATTATGAAATTAAATTTTTTTAAATTATTTCCTTATTATTATTATTTTTTGCTATCATTATTTGCCGTCCTTCTTAGTGATTTCACATTATTTTATTAAGAAAAAATACGTTTTTCGAAAGAATGTTATACTCGGTAATATTATCCGTCACTGAATTGATTATTGATCACAGTCAACAGAGGATAATCAAGAGATTTACAACAATCAATCAATTTTTGCGATTGATTGTCGTTTTATTACCTTGCTTATTTATTTATAACTATTTCTTTCCCCTATAACCTTTGACTTTGCATTGTTTAGGCTTATTATAGTACCTAAACTAATAATAAAAAAGCCCTTGATTTAAAGTTTTTAAAATACTTTTTCGGTGACGTCATCACCAAATAAGTCGAGAACAAGAGCACCGATTTGGATCAAGTATTTTTAATTTTATTTATTTATGATGTTTGAAATTTTTCCTAGGTTAATTTTGAGACCAATTTCCGGCCTCAAATAGTTTGGGTGCAATTTCGGAAATAGGAAATTTCATTGTTAAAACCCATCGTTACAGATTAAACTTTCCTTATTATCTTATCAATGGCTTACCCCGACAAGAGCGGGTTTTTTTTCTTCTTTCAAATTACTAAAAAAATTTTGGATCATTTCACGATATTTTCCATGAAATAATTGAGTTTATAATCTTTATTTTTTAGAAAATACACGTTGGCCGTTAACTTACTACCTGTTTTGAACTTTTTCTGGGTTTGCTGGAATATTTTATTTTTAAGTTTAAAGTGGTAGCAAAATGTGTGCTTTGATATTTTATATTTGATCTTGAAATACACGATACAATATTTTCACACATCAACTAGCAATAATTTTTTATTTTGTTGTTACACATACATATGCAGGCTTGTGTCCTTATGACAAAGACGGCTTCAAAGCACTTAACACGTTAAATACCATGGGAGTCTCCGGTGGCCGGCACTGAGTTTGTTCGTAGCGCCAAGGGGGTCACCGGTGACCGACGAAGTCAAGATTATTAGAAACACATAAATCGAGTAAATTTTTAATTTTTTTACATTATTGTATTTACTAAAATAGTTTGAAGAAATTAATGCAAATTAGAACACACAAAAATAGTTTTATTTATATACACATAAATGCCTACCTGCTCCGGAAAGCGAATAAATATTTTCAAGTTGTAGTTTATTAATTGAGATTCTTGATTTAATAAATTCAATTGAGTAGATTTTTATCCACCACTATTTCTAAACGATTCGTAGGCTTATATAATTCACCACTCTGTATCCCGATTGGTCATTCTAAACCTTTTAAAAAAACTAGCAAAATCTGTCTAATATTTGCAAATTTAGTTTGTAGTTATTTATCCGCTGTGGACAGACAGGTAAGCCATGTAAAATTAGCGTGGCGTTTAACGTGTTAAGTTAAAAGGGAAAAAAAGACAGACAGCCAGAATATTACAAAAAACATAATATCCAGGGTTACAGAGAGAATAGAAGGGTTACGAATCACTCTAAAGCTACGGAGCGTTTGGTTGAATGGTGACACCACTCGCCCAGGAGGTCCCAAAATGAAAACAATTTATTTTATTTCATTATTACTCATATATACTCAGTCTTGTGTGCTAATTAATAAGGCCTCTTCATAAAATAATGTGGTGAAGAAATAAAAATTTTAAATTTCAGATGAGTGGCTTTTGATGAGTTTGCCACTGGTGATAATAGTGCCAAGTGTTGCCAACTTTTCTGGAGAGAAAAAAATTCTTCTAGTGATGGCTAAGTTTATGTTTTGTAAATTTGGCTAAAAATTATCTTCCACACCCCTACAAGTAAATGATTCAAAAGGCAACTTTGCTCCAGCTCTTTAGTGGTAAGCTTTTTAAAATGTTGCAAAAATTCGAAAAGATTTAGTTTTCGATTATCTCTGCCGCTCTATAAAATGCTTTGAAAAAAAGAAAAAGAAAAAAGGATACTAGTTGGCCGCCTTGGTTATACTAAATTGTTTATAGCACTGAAATTTACCGTTTGCTTGCAAAAATGGTAAGCGATTCCTCCTAAATAAAAATGTGACATCTTGGCAACAGTTGCACTGGCAGTTACGTCAATCCAAAATTTATTCACCACAAAGCCTGATTTAAAAAATTCTGATGTGTTTAAATTACCGTATATCCCGGTACATAGTCCAAGTTTTTAAACCACCAAAATTTTAAGAAAATTATGGGGTCTACTTATACACCGGTCATAAAGTTGAATATTCGTTGATCGTGAAATATCGATGCATTATATACAACGAGATAGATATGAATGACTATGTATCAATTTACCCCTTTCAAAAACTATTTTTTTTTTTAGTCTACCATTAATTTTGCGTTTTCTCTCATCATATTTTCTTTACATTTAAAGATTTTCTTTGTCGTAATAATGCTATAAGTTATGCTCAGAAAAAAATTTAGGAAGAAGAATATTCTTTTTAGTTTTTTTTTCTTTTCTTTTTAGTCATTGTTTTCAACGTTTGTAAAAAATTAAAAAAGAAAATTATATATTTATAATGAAATCAAAGTGGTTAAAAAAATTGTACATTAATAATTCAATCAAATAATTAGATCAAATTCACAGTGGTTAACCAATATAATGTTTTTAACTATGATTCAAAGTGGTTAACCAATATAATTTAGTAAGGTAAAAAGGCCTGAAAAGAAATACCACTGCTATGGAATCATACAATAATGTTTTGTATACATACCAAAAAGAAAACGCGGAAGACGATCAAAGATAAATAATCAAACAAAATTGAAGAATAAATTATTACAATAAAATCGCGAAATTCAATGCTTTTTTTTATATTGAGCTCCATTTTCAAATCGAATAATGTTGAATTTTAAATTATTTTCCACGAAGATAGAGAATTCCCCAATTAAATTAACTTCCGTATTTGCATTGCAGAAATGAAGAAAATTGAAATGAAGGGTTCAATACCCAGCTCTTACAAACTAGGTTAAATTATTTATTGTCGACGAATTTCTTTTTTTAAAATAATTAAGACATTTTATATTAGGAAGAAGAGATCGAAGATTTTAAATGTTATCTTTTATTGAAGTATATGTATATACTTAATTCTCATATTAAAAATCGTATAGTGAATAGTTATGTTTAAAGAAAAATGTAATTCGTTTGTGCCTAAAGTGTTAGCAGTGATCGCAGCGTCTTATAAAATTGAAAAAATAAATGGTGGAAGAATTATGACATTTTAATTACCATCACAACAAATACTTTAAGAAACTGTGGAAGCACAATTTTTAGAGCAAAAAGTTAGGTCTACCGGAAAGTTCTGTCAGAGGTAGTGCATGCCCCCTTTTGCTCTTTTAATTGTCCAGCATAGAGAGCATTTTAATTGTCCAGCATAGCAAGAGACACGGCATACATTGCGCAAAGGAGCAAAAAAATATTGTGCTCGCCTTGCGGCTATCACAGGATACCCATTGGCAAAATGGTTGTTGTCGAATTTTTTTGGAAAAGCAGCTTTAAAATGTTTTTATCCTGGACATCTTTAACTGTTAACCCTGAAAAGCTCGGTACATAATTTCGTAGACATATTTGAATGCAACTCAGACACATTCTTTGTAAATTCTTTTGATGATTGAACAGCCAATCGAGATCAATATTAACATTTTCGGATTAGTGCAAAGGTGTTTGAAGGAGATTCTAATGCTGCCAAAGTCGGGTAGATAGGATTAAACTAATAAACAAAAATTTTAATCTAATTTAAAGTTAACAAAATATTTAAACTTTAGATTTCACTTTTATTACACTTATTTATCGCTCTCTGAAGATTAATAGGATTGGTTAGGTGCTCCTAAAATTTCAAATTACAATTGGGTCGACTGTTCAACGACGGTTATAAAATAAAATAAATGTGCCTTTGTTGTAGTCATCATTATGGTGGAACTTATAGAATGATATTGAAAATCTCTCCTATTCTGGAAGTTATACTTTTTTATTCGCTACCAATTTATAAAAACTTATGCAGAAAACCAGGCAATTGGTATTCCAGAGGACGCTGCGACCAATGATC